TTTTTTTTTTTTTTTTTTTTTTTTTTTTTTTTTTTTTTTTTGGCAAGCAACTTTTGTGATACATTTGTACTTGATATTACCTTTGTGAATATTTGAAAAGTCCATTTCAACAAACAGTCATGAATCTATTGGAAGCCATGACATTTGGCTAACAATCTATTGAAGGACATGTCATTTGGCTAACAGCTTTTGTGATACTTTTTGCGAAACAAAGTTTGAACAGAGCCAATCATTGAGTATTATATTTAAATTGATTGCTATTTGAAGCCTTAGAGAAAGATATGAAATAAAAAATATTCTGTATAACATGATTGTGGATGAATGTCATATGAATGAATGGCTTTTAAAATAATATCCTTTTCAGGATTTGGTGATTTATTTGTACCACCCTTTGTTTAAAAACAAATTATTGGTGATGGGACTTTTTACAATGATTTGGTCTCAAATGATAAGAATAAACTACTTGTAAAGTTGTACTATATTTTATTTACTTGATTTGTTTCTATACATGTACATCCCATGTTTGCTCACGAAAAAATAAATTTGATTTTTTTTTTTTAAAAAGCATCAATGATTTACGACAATAAAGAAGTCGAATTTAAAACATTAAATACAGTGTTAAATTATTTTGTCCTAAATGATTTCGTATAGGAATTATAGAAATAATATAATACAATACGGTAGAATAGAAATAATGGAATACAATATGATAGAATAGAAATAATGGAATTTAATATGATATAATAGAAATAATAGAATAGTATAGAAAGCATAGAATATAAATAATATCATTTAAAAAAGAAATAATATATTAAAATAAAAATAATACAATATATAGAAATAATAGATTATACTAGAAATAATAGAATAGAATAGAAATAAAAGATAATAATAGAAATGATAGATAACATCATGTTAAAACAGTTTATGAGGGAAATACGATGCTACTGATTCTGTTACGACATCCCATGACACGTGATCTTCAGAGATTTGTTGACAAAGGTAAGAGCGGTTGTTTACGACAGTGTGACGTCATCTGTATGTGTGTGTGTGGGGGGGGGGGGATTCTAAGAACTGGCAGCGCGACTAGTCTATTTATAGCTCAGTATCTGGGCTTTATTCACTCGATAAGACATTTTTATCATTTGTTTCGTGGTCAACAGATAACTCGACTTAAGTGAGGGCACCTTCACACCAGAACACAAACATGCATCAAACCACTTCTTACAGTTTACAAAGTAGGTTGGGTCATAATAAATATTCAAGAAAATATTTATAACGAGCAAACTTCATTTTTAAAATTTAAGCGACATTGTTTCATAAAATTGTAATAAAAAATGTTGAAATTTTTTCCACAAAGCATAGTTTGAATGGATGTTACGCACTGGCTTCTAATATGAGAAATTAATCTCCTATTTTAATTCTATTGGCTCGTTGTAAACACTGCCTAACAAAGAACGATACCATAGAGTCAACAATTTTAAAGATACGACACCAAAACAGTTGCCAGTCACAATTAATTAAGATTTATTATGTATTAATACAATAACAAAACAAAAGAAATATAATAATAAATCATCAACTTACAGTATGGTAGATCTTGCACCGGTACACAGTTAATACAATGTGCTAATTAATAATGATGAATGCGAAATAAACACATAAATACACAAATACACAATACACGTCTCGTGAAGTTAATAATTATCTATCTGAATCCCCGCCCGTGCCTGTCAATCCCTTATATAGGTCGCGTAAGCCCTGCCCTCCAGAAAAGACTTATGACGTGTTGTTTACATTTCTCGGGTTATCGAGCACATTCGAGTCAATACCAGGAAGACAGTCTAACATGTTTAATTGGTAAACACGGTTGTAAACAAGATACATCAAACTAATAGGCCACGCCTACAACAGACGTTACTGTCTGCTAGGATTCTAATTTAAGTCAAGTAAAGTTCACGTACGGAAAAAGTGTGCTACATAGCAATGGAACTATTCACTATTTTCTATTCACTTCAAAAAACATAATGCAGTAATTCCTTTATTGGCGAATTGTGTAAAACAATTCCACAACCCATGAAAACAAGGTTTTTCGTATAAATCCTTTTAAACATTTTATATGGAGCGATGGGGGGTGGGGGTGGGGGGTGGGGGGGCTGAAAGTTTGACAAAACATGCATACAAGTAAAGCACTTTATAAGAATCCCCCCCCCCCAGGCTCGCAAACGCACATTTTTTTCACGCCCCTGAACTGTATTAATATTCTAATAACCAACGCACTTTTACACCGCAGATTTATTTCACGAACTATTTCAGAAGACAAAAGGGAATATTACGCAACAAACGCACTTGCTATATTTAAAAAAAAAAATCTCATTTAGCGCAGTTATCGGAATTTTATTTCGTGAAATCAGTGGCATCGTATTTCATTTATCTTCCCCTTCAAAAAAGGGGTGATTTTGTGGGGCTGATGGTGTGTGGGACTGAAAATTTGATATAATGTGTTGTCATGTGCCAATCTGCAGCTGGATAGGTTGACGGGAAGTGGGGCAATTAGCCGACCGAAGCTTTTGCCAGCCCTCCACCCAGCCAGCCCCGAACAAGAGCAAAGTTAATGTAAAGGATTTAAAAAATACAATCACTATCAGGTAAAATTTATGGCATACTTCCAATAAGTTTTGCTATGATTGGGACGATTTTATTCAAAGCATATCTGAACGACAGTTTAAAGCAGCGGTTCTTAACATGTGGGTGGCGACCACTTTGGGGGTCCAACGATCCTTACACAGGGGTCGCCTAAGACCATCGGAAAACATATATTTATGAATTAGCAACGTAAATAATTTAATGGTCTGGGGTCACCACAACATGATTAAGTGTATTAAAGGAAGGTCTTAGGAAGGTTGAGAACCACTCATTTAAAGGAAATGGGGAAAAACAACTCTGTAGTACAAATTTCCGATCGGGCAACATCTCATCGTATAGTATCCGGATACAAAAGAATTGAGAGTGACCGTGAGCCTCGTTCTCAAGGATGGTAGGTGTTGACAGTGGCGTACCTTTATTTACTGCCCCCATGGGCGAACCCCCAAAGTTTATCCCCCTCTAACACACCTTAAGGCGTGGTCTACATCATATTATCTATACGCCCTAAAAGTGTCGACAGGGGCGGCCGCCTTCTCCGAAACCCCCAAATAGGTTCGCCCCTGGCTGTTGGTGACTGCGACCATAGGGTGACTAGAGGGGCCCCAACGGAAGGCCAGCGGGGCCTATCTGCGGCTAGGGGGCCCATGTAATGACCGGCGGGGACCATCTGATAACTAGCAGGGTCATATGATGGCTAGCGGGGACCGTCTCTGACAGCACCGATTCACCCCATTATTCAATAATCATCAAATTACAGAACATATCTTTGAATACTACAAACTACCCTGACAATCATTTGATAAAGGAATCGATGGTTTTGTATATATATATATATATATATATATATATATATATATATATATATATATATATATATAT